AGCCTTAAACGAAAGTCTAAAGTACAATTAAGAACCCATTGTATATTTCAAGGAATAAATGTGTTCGTCTTTGTATTTCATGAATGTTACATATTAATTTCAAATAGAATTGGTTTTCTAATTTTTTGGTAAGCGCGACTTTCTGATACCACTTTTCACTGATTCCATGTTTATTCAATTGACGGCATATGCAAGAAGTATATGGTTCAAAATGGGTGAGGGGATATGTGTTGGATTAGGTTTGATGTTCTGAATAAATTAGCAATAATTCATCCATTGTTAACCTTACTGGTGCATGGAGATGCCTCGGCTCACTGTAGATTACTCACAAGCTAACAACATATAAGTTTCAGCTTGCAAATGTGAGCTTAATCTCCTGTTCTCAAACACTCTCTACTGCAAAACTGGCAATATGTATGCTGACCGTTGCACAACAGTCAGGGATGAGCGTGCCTATTACAATCAGTGGCTATAGACGTGTTTAGTTGTGCCTGTGCTAGCCAGTGTACTCAATTTGTCCAACACCTCTTACTACATTGCTAACATGGTAATATTCAACAATGAAAATGTTGGTTTTCTCTACTCCACTACAGAAGGTGGCAGTAGTGTTAAATGGATTTCAAAGGTGCTTAAAAATTCCTAACAGGTGCAGGAGGAACTTCTCTTGAAGTCTCTTGAACTTTTCTGGTGATAGCAGTAGCACTCTTTTGGTAGGTTTGTTGGTAAGAGTCCCATCTGTACACTCTCAAATACAGTGAGCGCCCATTCCAACCTGACAAACCCACATGTCACCATGACTAACATATGAGAACAAGCTTCCAAAAATAAACATGAGCAGCTGCATAATACAGAGAATACAGTCTCGTGTAGGTTACTGACAAAATCAGTAGTAGAAAAGTACTTTAATGTTTTTTTCTACACCAGAAACAGAAATGTACATAAAAGAAAATGTAGGATACATAGCTAAACTAAAGGAGCAATACTGTCTAAAAATACAGCAAGCCTAAGATAGGATGACATCTTTTTTCTGGAGCACTATAGCATTGCTCAGCCTGTGGAATAAATCTATTCAAAGCACTACTTCTACTTTTATTGTGAGCATACTAAAGTGCTATTAATTAAATTCAATAGAGCTGGTGCTCACAATAATCTTCAGCTATAAAAGTCTGACAAAAAGGTTTCCACAAAAAACAAACAAGGTCTTGAGCACTTGCTAAAAAACAAACAAACAACAACAAACAGTCAGGAAACTATCATTAAGAATTTTGTTTATTGTTATACATCCAACATAGGCAAAAGCAAGTCATATACCCCCCAGTAGAGGTAGTCATATTTTACAAAAGCAACTGACAGATTGTAAAGTGCTATAGAAACCACCTTTTTTCTGCTGATGCAGCGTTTATCACACATTTCGATTATAAGATATTCCTTAATCACCACATCAATGGCCAAACGTAACTGATTTTGATCAAGTAAGATTACTCAAAGTGTGCTGTGATACAAAATCAAGCTTTGGGAGCAAAGAATCCACACGCTTTCCATTAATAAAGGATGCAGCCTGTTCAACTGATGCAGATATCACCAAATACACTAAATCACTGCCAAACCCCAGCCTCAAATACTTGCTCTTAAATTTCAAAGAGGATAAAAAGTGAATAGTGGAAAGTCTTTAGTCACATTGCTGAATTAGAGGCTGGCTACATGAACCTTAAAATTCTAAATAAAGATTCACTTGTGGAAGGTGAAAAGGAAGAGGAGGAGGTGTCCTAAGGGGTAGTAGGACAGGGGTAGTAATAACAATCAGATCTTTGAGGCATAAAATTACTATATCTTACATTACCTAGTTTATCTCACAGTATTTTAGGAAGCACATGACAGACACACATGGTAGACACTACACGACAATTGGGGTCTGAAATGTTAGGCCACTGGGACAACTTCAAACTGATGAATGAAGAGCAACCAGACTTGATTTTGCTCATGAGAGTGCACAGACACACACATACACATGTGCAGGACAGTGGATAGCCAATAATTATCCCTGGGTGTGTGCAAAGTATAAATGGACAGCTATTTGAAATCCCATACTGTATTTATCTTTAAAATCTGTCAACACTGTTTCCCTAAAGGGTGTGTGTATATTTAAAAGACAAGGCATAAAACAACAAATGCACTTCAAATTTGAAGGTACTGTACTGTAATTGTGCTACGTGTCCTAGGAATATTGAATCATTTTATCATGCAATGTGAGGGAAGTTCTGTTTAGAAAGAGTTGCTTTAAATGTAATCCTTGGCACTCCACGGGCCACTCAGGGACAGAGTCAGGGGAAAAAATGTGCCATGTCTGCTTGGTAACAAATGGCAACAAATGTGTTCACTATAGTGAAGAGTGTGGGAGTTTGATCAGTGGGAACTGAGCAATGTAGCAGAAGTAGAACTCAAGGTTTTGATGTCGACTGTGTTCCTGCATATGATTGACAAAACCTAAACAGCTCTGCAGGATACATCAAAGTTCATCAAGTTGTTTTTGAAAACAACTTAGAGTATGTGTCAGTTTATTTGTTATTCCATTCAATTTTTATCAGTCTGGTGCTCCTTTACTGTTTCCCCACACATGCAACAAAACCACATTAATTAGGCCTCCGTTCTAAACACCACCTAATGCTGAGGCAGTTATAGACATATAAAAAAACAACAAAAGTACTAATTAAGTATTAAGTATGTTGTCTATCCAGACTTCAAATAGATCTGATAGTATTTCTGTAAAACATCTGATTACAGACCATCCAGGAAGCACATTTTTACTTTTGGAAAAAGTCAAACTATTCTTCGTATACTCTGAAATATTATACAAACCTATGTTAATGAAATTATGTCACTTAATCAGTAGGTTATGGGAAAAGTGTGATACCAGGGATCCATAATAGGTTTGAACCTCAATAAACACAGTGCAGACATCCTAGGACACTTTTATGGGTTAAATGACAAAATGAGTTTTCATATAAACATCACTAGGGACAGACTTTAACACATACAAAGGTGATTTTGTATGCGTGTGTGTGAGTGAGAAAGGAAGAGAGGGAGAAAGAGAGAGAGAGAGAGAGGGGAAATAATGGGGTGTTTGTTAACATTGTACTTTTTAGGAGATGTGTTTAATGGACACTGGGCTGAGTAGTAAAGTAGCTGTTGACTGTGTGATGACGAAAGTGAACACTTGTGGTAATTTATATGGACCTAAAAGTCACATTGACGGGATAACAAATCAAATGGGCTCTCACTGCCGGCTGACCCTGTGACCAGTCTACCTAGTTATTTGGCCAAAAAGGCTTTTGAGCATCTAAAATTTTAGAGTTTAAGAGTAACTTCCTGAAGTGACCTTTGCTTGAACCACTAAATTACCTGGTCAGTGCTCTTCTGAACACCATCACAGCCTTCTCATGTTGCCACTGAAGAACACCTACTGTGTTGTTTTTCTGAACTATACTGTACTGCTGTGGAGCTTTTCACCTTATACCTACAATAAAAAAACTGTTTCAAGATTGAACAATCAACACGTAATGAATAAAAGGGGCAAACCACTGATGATGGCATCAGGAAATAACAATAGCAGCACAGCTGACCTCAGACCTGATGAAGTCAGCAGAATGATGCTGTTTACTGTACTGTATATCCCACAATTGCTTTAATGAACACCCACACACTGTAACACTGTAATCAAACTTATGCAATGTCATGCCTAGTCAAGGACTTACTTTCAGCACGTCTGGTCAAGAATTAATGAGGGAATGCAGAGTGATAAATATTGTTGAGAATAAGGGCTTTACTAAAGTTTAGAAAGCAACTAAAATCTACTAAGTCTGTAAAGCTAAATGTTGAGATATAATTGGATTAGTCACATATATACACAATGTATAAGTGTGAAACACTATTTACTTGCTGTTATTTGTCTTTCTGTTCCAACAATATATGGATTGTTTTGGTAATATTAATGTTGATTTATCTCAAGTAATCATGATTAATCCACAACTACTCTGATTAATCAGATTAGTCATTTGATAGCCCTGATATATTTAAGGCAATTAAATGGTAAGCCTAAACAATTACCCTTTTATTTCATAAAGCAAGTCAGATCGTTGACATATAAGAAATTGACAGTGTAAAGTATATAACATACTTTTCATTTGGGAATAGGATTTAAAAAGCAGACGTTTCACCTTTGAAAGTTGTTTTACTAGTCCAAATCCCACTGTTAAACTGTGACAGTAGGCCAATAAGACACTGAGACTGTGATGCTGAGGCAGATTCTCAGTCATCGTTGATTATGCTTATTCAACTAGCTGCACAACCAGCAATGACAAAATTGAAAATGATCATTTCTACTACACAGCTGCACATCATCATATTCTTCGTGGGCAGCCCCCACAGTTGTTGCTCCTGTTGCCCGACCAGCAAATGTTACCATCCTCTAGCAACCAACTGTTGCAGCATTATGTGGCCAGCATTCAGAGCTGTCCAAACTATGTGTGGCGGTATGACTGTGAATGCTGAGTACACTGGTGTGGCTGCTGGAATCCTCTGTCTCTCTCTGTTGTCAGTTCTCACAAAGGCACAGGACAGACTGAAAACCTCTTGCCTGACCAAAATATTTGCACGGAACAATGTTATTGCAACAGCACCTGAAGACTTTGACTACTAGTATCTAGTATCATCAAAGGGATTCTGTGTTTTTCAGGATGGGAAAGCCTTAGGAAACTTCCGGCACAGCAATTTCCACACATCCAAAGTTGGGCTTGACCTAACGCCCGTGTGTAGGAAGATCACAAACCTGCCAATATATAATACTTTCTTAATTACTTACACATTCATTCACAACACCTTTCTCTGCGTGCTGTAAAAACACATTCTACTGAACTGTTTTTTTCTATTTTTGTATTTTATCTTACATAAAACTACGGACACTCACTTTTTTTTAAAAAAAAGAATGTGGAATAAAGACTTACCCTAGAGGCGGTTTGAAGGAGTTGGACATTGCTGTGATTACCGAGTCCAACTTCTGTCGTAAGCGGTTCTTACAGAGGGCTTCTAGAATCCGCAATTGCTTTTTATACTAGACGATTATCCATTCAGTTTTCACCTGCGAGGGAACACATATTACTTTACTTCTATCACCAAGTTTCCAAGAAACTCTTTACATCTAAATTAGCTCATTTTTTAAATAAAGAGAACCAGTTTAAATAACAGTTACAAGTTAAACAAGTGACAGTGCGCGAAGATGACAGTCTAGTTTGAACCAAACAAAGACCGTTAAAATGCCCGCTAAAGATACTGAATAAAAATAAATGAATATTCTGCTCTGTATTGGTCAGACTTACTTTGGTGAAAGCAGTTTTATCTTTCATCTTCACATGAAAGATCCCCGTCAAATCCACTTGATATAATGGTATGCCCACAGGTTGAGTTGCACTAAGCGATTTCACGGCGGTATCAGTAATATATATCACTTCCTGTGCAGCGTTTCAGAATAAAACTCTATGTCCCAAACCAGCAGTGTTGATCAGATGATGGCTACAGATGGACAAAATTAATTTACCTGTAGAAGCTGGTTGGATGAAGAACTTAGTGTAAAATTATAAAGAGAAAACACATCTTTCATTTTGTGTAGTATAATTACATGTAAACTCGTACATGTAACTCGTCACAAAAACGAAAGAATAAACCATATCAAACACTATTGCATGCCATCATTTTAACTGCCATAATCTCACCTGTATAGTTATCTGTCCCAAGATTTTTTAAACAACACTTTTTATGCTACTGTTTCTTAAAAGCTTGATTATTTTTTTTCATTTCTCAAAACATACGCAATAGAATAGAATTCAACCCTTTGAACAAGTTTCCTTTAATCCCAAGATTTCCTTTAATCCCTGTTTCAGTCTGCAAAATATTTTCTGTATAAGTGGGTGTAAAGATAGGGACAAGCATCTTTTGTGCGGTTATATACAACCTTTACATCAATAAAATGTGGCCATCCCGGCTTGCTAGCAGTTATAAAATAAGCTAGCATTATGTGTACGATATTTAATGTGCTGTGCTGACATTTGCTTTCTTCTTTTTATTGTCTTATTAACTTGAAAGTGATTCTCGTGTATGTAACTAATATTAAGAAGAAGAAAACCTGAAACAGTCTCAAATTACTATTTAATATAAGTGCAGAGGAAACTTAACCAGCCACTTACACATAATGTAACGTAATTTGAGTAAATATGCCAATACCATACATCAGTTTTAAAAAAATAAATAAAAATATTTTACTTCTAAAGTAAACCTTTCCATTTCCCTGTGTTTTTGGGTGCTCTCTTTTAACTTGACCTAGCTTTTCTTTAGCCCGCCCCCGTCAGCAGATCTCATGTCAATCAGCCTGACTGGGATTCACTGGACACCAGCTGTAGAGCGACGAGTTCACAACCGCGACCCAGTAGCACAAACACACAGATACACAAATATAAAAACGACGCTACTAATAAACTCCTACAACCAACGAGATTCAACACAACAACAGTGACATAAAAGCACAAAACGACTGGACAAATATTAACAAATACAATTAAAGTTTTAAAGAAAAAGAAATAATAGCAGTGGTATAGGGAGAAAAAGCGAAGGTTGTAGTAACAATAAATAATAAATGTATCCGTCACTTCCATAACCTTGATAGACATTTACTGCACATATTTTTCACCTTTATTGACAGGCATGCCCTGTGCATCATAAGTGAAATGTCACTTTTAGCCACAAGGTGTCACTCACGCACTACCATAACAAATAAGAACTCGAACTCTAGCTCTATAAAATATGTAAGTTGTGAGTTCGAATAACTGAAAGTTGTTGGCCGTGGAAACTCAATCTGATCAAGAATGTAAAATTAAAGAAAATACTTGTTTATGTTAACAATGTATATGTATAAACACACCTTGTTGTTTTACATTTTTATGCTGGCTGAAAAAAGTAATGATATTAACTTTATAACCTCACAATGACGCTCCCCCTCCTTCCCCCTGCAGATATTCTAAAAAAAGCAGTTTATAAAAATAGAACATTAACAATAGAACAATAAAACATTTATATAGATAGAGTGATGTAGTACACACTACATATAATGGATGAAGACATGAAAGAAATGAAAAAGAAAGAAAGAAAGTTATTTAAGTGACTGGAGTTTTGTACAAGAATAAACTCAATGACAAAAATACATATAGAAATGTACTCAGGACAGGAAAGACACCGACATGATGTGAAGGCATATTTATACATTCAAATGAGGCACTACTACACCAATGAGGCTTGAGAGGTTTCGACAAATGTTTGGCAGAAGCATGTGGCCCAAAAAAACACTGACCCCACAGTGTTTGTTAAAGCGTAAGTTTCTCATGAAATGGCAATGATGGGTGTTTGCCTGTTTTGTCTTCAAACACACCACCAACTCCACCATTCAACTGGTGAATAGAGTTTACCTGGTGGAGTTCATGTCACTGATTATCATAGATGTGGTGTGATTGGAAAATCAGGGTCCAAACCAGAAGACCACCAAATTCAAAGAACCTTGAGACATTGACAAAAGAAGAAGACATATTGTTGAGTTGATGTTTTGTAAACTGTAGACGAATATATGTGGGTGAAAAAGAGAAGTGTTTTTTTTTTTCTGTCTCTGGTGTTCTGCTCGTTTCTGTTGTAAGGTGTGAAACCTGATCTTCTGATAAAGATCTTTCAGCCACTCTTAAGGCAAATCAGTCAACATACTTTGTTTGTTACTATTGATTGGCTGTTCAGTTTATGCATGTTTCCTCTGTCATTCTGTTCTGCCCCCCAAAGCTGTGACAGTAAAGAAAAAAAGAGACTTGATTCGCAGCAGCTGAAACTTCACCATGTCAGGTAAATATACTATAACTATATTAACTAAAAAAAAACTAATAACAAAACAAAGTTACCAACTAACCTGTTGTGTACCATATGTTTTAGGTTAAGTGTGAGATGAATGTGCTGATTTTTTTCAAACATGTATATTTACTGCGTGGCGCTTTAGCTCAGAGGCAATATCTCTGACATTGGTGTGAAACCCCAGGGTTCACCTCCTGGGCAAGATCAAATCCTGGTTAGGGCGGTTGGTACCTTCCAGTGGACTCACCACCTGCAGGAAGGTTCAGGGGGGTTAGTACGGTGCATACAGTGTGATTTGGGTGGCGGTTGTGGAGACTGCTGCCCCTGGATGGAAATTGATGGATGGATATTTTACTGCACTCTTTTGAAGAATGTAATAAGGTTACTTTTTATTTAAAAAACAGGATATATAGATAATATTAAATATTTAATATGTATTATTTCTGGCATTTTCAAAACTACATATTTGGCATTTGCTATCATTAAACACGGAGCAGTTATAATTTAAAAGTCTCAAAAAGTATGCTCAGAAAAACAATTTTGTCACAAAAGTTTGGTTTATATGCTTATTCATACTGTGAACTAAAATGTTTCTGCACACTTCTGTAATGACGTACAAAACAGTTTGGGTAGAAATCGAATGTAATTTCACAATACAAATACACCGTGATCCTATTTTTCATTTTACCATTAGTGGCCACTAGATGGAAGAATTGCTTTGTAATAAAATAGGTGTGTATGGCCAAATACAAAACAATTTCGCCTCCATTTTTTTAACCAAGTAATTATAGTAACTATAGGCTGTATTTTTTTAAGAAGTGACATTTAAACGTATTTTATTTTGTATAATGCCTTTTGTTATCATTTGTTAGAAACAGAGCACTGGTCTGATATATAAAGTAAAAATAAAAATTTGTCTTTCCAGGTTCTGGATTCTACAACACCAACCTGCCATATGATTACGACTTATACTTCAATGATAACGAATCAAACATTGAACCATGTGATGATATGGGTCCAAGGATCTTAGAGATATTTGTGCCAACTCTCTACAGTCTGGTATTCATCCTAGGCTTTCTGGGTATGTGAGCCTGCATATACTGTGAGGTGTTTTGGGTTGTTGTTGTTGAATTAAGTGTGTCTATAAACACACATACACAAACAGAAAGAGATATTTATGTAGACAGCAAAGGCGGTTTTAATGAACACAGGTGAAATACATGACATCTGTGCACACGATCGCCACCACACAGACAGGAAGTAAAACCAGAGTGAAACCAACACGGCGGAACCTACAAAATAAAAACCTCAGACATGTTGCAAGGTTTTGCTTTTAACTGTTAATTATTTAAAAATTCTGTGTTTGATCAACTGTTGATCTTTCAAAATCATCACACTAAAGGACTTCTAACAACAAAGGCATACTGTACAATGGAATTGACCCCCCAAAAATTATACTAATGACTAGAGCCCAGTTACAGGTTGGCCCCAGGTCACAACCTGCTTCTGCTTTTTTATTTTTTAAGTTCTTTCCATTTTAGTAAAAGGAAAAACTTGCTGCTTGTAATAGATTCAATTCAATTCATAGATTAAATTAAATTAAATTAATTAAATTTTGGGTAAAAAAAATTGATGTTTGCTCTGATCTAAACACAACTCCAAATATCAGTAATAAAAAAATTATTTGCGCCAGTGTAGGGGCTGGAGAGAAATGTCTTATCATATCTTAGTCAGTAAATCAAACACTATATGAAATTATTTTCTTAGAATTTTTGACTTACCTCCTCTCTCCTATTAGGTAACGGCCTGGTGGTGTGTGTGCTGCTGAAACACCGGCATCAGACCAACCTGACAGACATCTGCCTGCTGACCCTGGCTCTGTCTGACTTGGTCTTCGTCCTCACTCTGCCTTTCTTTGCCCACTTCGCCGCCTATAGTGAGTGGGTCTTTGGAGGTTTCATGTGCAGTTTCCTGAGAGGCAGCCACTACGTAGGCTTCTTCAGCAGCATCTTCTTCATGGTAGCCATGACCCTGGACCGCTACGTATCCATCATGCATGCAAACAAAATGATTCGTTGCCGCACCCTGAGGTCAGGCGTCATCCTGAGCATCTGTATCTGGCTGCTGAGTTTCTGTGTCTCCCTTCCAGCTTTTATCTTCTCTCACGTCCAACATTATAGTTATTCCATCTGTGTGTATGCACCAGATGACATGGTCTGGAAGTTTTATGACATCTTTGCAACCTGCATTCTAGGTCTTGTGCTTCCCATGTTGGCTATGGTAGTTTGTTACTCCAGGATCATCCCTACGTTGTTGAGCATGAGGAGCACAAAGAAGCACCATGCTGTCAGGCTAATCATCCTTATAGTGGTTGTCTTTTTCATCTTCTGGTTTCCGTTTAACATTTCCATGCTCTTGGATTTTTTGCAGGTTTTGGGCAAACTGCCTTTCACCTGTGAATTACAAAAGAACCTTTACATATCACTGGTTGTGACTGAGAGCTTAGCTTACACTCACTGTTGCCTGAACCCCATCATTTATGCTTTTGCTGGACAGAAGTTCATGAAGCGTGCCTGTAGGCTGCTTAAGACATGGGTTCCTTGGATTCCTCTCGCAGATTTTCCAGACAGCTCATTCAGGAAGAGCTCAGTCAGGTCCAGGTCGTCTGAAGTCACAACCATCTCTTTCAAGTAAATGTGAGGATGACTGGGTGTGAAAACCCCCCAGAAACATCAGTGTTGTCTTCTGTGTTTCCTCAGGTACTTATATATGGTTGTCAATTAGAATCAGAAAATGCCTTATTAACCCTGATGCTACAGCCTGTTGATGTTACAGGTATACCTTTACACCAGCATGCGGTAAACTTAGTGACAAAAAGATAGCGGATAAACAATTAGATAGAATTCTGCTACTGACTGCATTTTGCTACTTTTCTGGGTTTTTCATAGAAGCACTGCTGCCTTTTAGTGGTATTACTGTCACCCAATGGTAGAAATGCAGTATTACAGTATATAGGTTGTAGATTTCCATCCATAAATGGACTAATGGCTTGTAACATTAGATAGAAATAAGGTGTGTTAACTGTGATGCATCAAAAATTACAAAAAGATTCTGTGCAAACCTTTGTATATAAGAACTATTTTCTACTTAAGATCCTGTTTTTTGTACAGTCTTTGACCATTTGTTTCTGCAAAACAACATTTCTCCAGTAATTGATCAGTTCAAGTTCAATCTAATCTAAGAAAAATATGACACACCAAACACTTGTCTAGACGTCCTGTGGGACGGACCCCACTTATTAAACATTGTAGATGTGGCAAAAATAGACACGTCTTCCTGAGTGATTCAAGGGGAAACTCTGCTCTACTTCAAATTTCTCCACACAGAAATATGTGTTAAAACTTAAAAGTTTTCTGTCAGTTGGCTTTGGGGTTTTTTCTTTTCTCACTATCGATAAGATTTCTTATTTTTGGCCAACGTTTTATTTTTCTTCATTATGGAAAATCTACCGTTAGAAAAAAATCATCTTCAAGAAGCTTTTTGTTTTGGAAAATATATGATTTTCACATTTTGGTGATGACTCAAAGCTGAAAGAGTAAAACTCAGATTGAAAAAAAATCTGCCTATTATTTTAACCGATCTGACTTCTTTTATTTTACATAAATTATGCATTTATATGTTGACTTTTGTACCATTTATTTCAGGAAAGTTGTATATGTTGTAGGTGGGTATATGTTTTTGATTCAACACGAGTCAAAAATTGTATGGTTACTGTTCTTTTTAATCAGTTACACTCACACTGATCCCCAGTCTAAGGTTTTTCTACTGTTTTTCAACATTTTTGTCTTTTTACCTAACATAATATTTTATAATAAACAGATATAGCTTCTACAAAACAACGCCTTGTGTTTTTCTTTTTTTGCCCTAAGTTGGGATCGAAACTATACGTTCCCTAAGATCTTATATCAGAGTCAGAAACATAATTACATAATCAAGAGACAATCAAGAAATTAATTTAGGAAATTGCAAATTTTAGTTCATTGCCAGTAACCTGGCATAGGAGACGGTTAGATTTACAAAATAACACTTTGTTTACGGTTGGTGTAAAACTGTAAACTACACAGTTACATCAGGATGTGATGCTCCTCATGAGCCTACTACTGAAGAAGAAGAGATAGAGAGACTTTTGTTCATATCTTAATGTTTTTGGATGGTACATTTGTGTCGTAGACAGTGAGGAAAATATTTAATATAAGCCTGAAGAGTTAAAGAATTGAGTTCTGACTCATGGCTTTGTCACAGTCCCTGCTGTCAGTGGTAACTGAAAAGATGTCCAAGCATTTTACTCCTCAGTGTGCTTATTACACAAACTGTCTGAAGGTTGTATGTATACCATATCATAGCAGTAGGTAAATGTCTTTTCTGGTATATGTGGTTGGTCTGAAGGTAAAGTAAGAAGTTAAAGTTGTTCGTTTCTGATGAATTGAATGAAAGTTTCAGAAGTCAACAACACTGGAGAAGTCCATCTGCATTGACAGCAGAAGTAAGAAAATGTAAGTGAGTGGAAAAAATGTGCCTCATTAGAATACATTTCCCTCCACTCTTTTTTTTCACGCGGCAAGACAAAACATAAAGGGACATTTCTGAGAAACCACATTGACACCTCTGTGCAGCTTTACGGTGATGCAGAGGAAATTACAAAAAATCTTGAACTTCACCTTTACCAGAAACTGGCTCCTAAGCAGGATTTTGCACAAGAAGCATGTGATACAACTGGATTGGGTTGATGTGCTGCACAGGAAGCTATCAGTTCACGAGCAGTGACTGAGGTAAAGATGGTGAGTGTTGCACCGTTCCAAACTTAACAAGACATTTAAACGATGCTCTGTTGGGGTTACTGTGTGTATAGCCATGTGTGTGTGTGTGTGTTGTGACAGCCACAGGAAGTGAGGGTCGGTCTGGGTGTCAGAGACGTTGGTTCTGTCACTCGCAATTGTGAGGAGTAGAATTTGAGATGTGGTTTGTCAGAGGTGGTAGAATTTGGCTTACCGTCACTATTGGAGTAGGTTTTTGACTTTCTAACACGTAATCTATCACCGTGTTTGTTGATGTTGTACAAGAGTTGTTTGTCAGCATTTAGACTGGCAAGACAATTAGATAAACAGTGGCATTTGGGGGCATGACTCAATAGATGCTGCCTTGCTTTAAAGGGCAGGAAAGTCCAAGCACATGGCTGACGTGTTATGTAATGTTTCAAACAAGTCAATGTGTTTTTCGTAAGTCCTTTCTGGATTATTAGAAACATCCAGTGAAACATGTGGAGCCTCCTCCTCGTGTCATTTGGTCCAAGAAATCATCTACAGATATATATTCTTTACAAAGAAGACTTAGTTTAGAGAAGTTCAAGGAAACTAATCCAGGAGTCACGGGGAGGGTAGATGGTTTGCACAGTAAGTTACTTATATAATATACAGATTTGATTTTAAATTTTATTTTATAAAAAAATATTTTTCAGCCTATTTGTACTCTGTCAGAGCTGATTACCACTAATTGTCTAGATGAACATGGTTCTTTACAAGTGGGAATTTAAATAAATAAATAAATGTGTTCCTTTTTTTGACAAAAGCCAAGTGTTAGGTCTCGTAATCTTGTGTTGTTAATATTTTCATGTGTACCATTTCTTAGATCTGTGGGTAGAGATTTTTCTCGGAAGATCCTTTTTCTGTGGGAGGATCTTTTGAGCGTGACAAAAAATAATGATTGGCCTTAGCTGATTAGTAAAGACATATTTACGTATTATTACTGCAGTACTTTCTGTAGAGTGGAGTAGAGGGAGGAATGAATATATGCTAGTTCAATGGAAGAGTCTTCCATGCTTGTTAGTATTGTTGTTGACTGATTTTCTTGCTTTCTTGCTCTTTGCTTTTTAAGCGTCTGTGTGTGATACTGATGTGTTTTTATTTAATTGGATTAATCACAGTGTCCTGTTTGTGCCAGCAGAACTTGTCTGATCTGGAGATGTACGCCAGCTATGAATACAACGACACCTGTGAGCAGGATTCTACCGAGGAGGTTCTCATTGGATCTGTGGTTCTCCCAGCCGTTTACTATGTGTTGTTCTGTTTTGGAGTTTTAGGTGTGTTGTACATTCTTCCTATAATGCCTACATACATTTAACAATGCTCTAGCCTAACAACGACTAACAAATTTCAACGACTTCACAGGCAACATCACAGTTCTCTGGGTTCTCTTGAGACACATAAAACTAAAATCAATGACGGACGTGGGCCTCCTTAATCTGGCCCTGTCGGACCTCATCCTGGCCGTATCCCTGCCTATGTGGGCCAGCCATTCTCAGAACATTGTGTCGTGCAAATTGTTGACAGGCATTTATCAGGTGAGTGCCCTTTGGGCTTTATCAAGTCAAAATGGTATCAGTGGTCTATTTCAAATGACTTTAGTGTACTATTAAATACATCTAGTGTAGAATGATCAATGTAACTGTATTTAATAGTACACTAAAGTAAACACAGATATAGGAGGGACGACAGGCCAATCCTAACAAAATGTACATAAAGTAATATTCACTTAATTAAAAAATTAAAGTTTCCCGCAGTGGCCAGTTACAGTCATTCGGGGGCAGAAATTACAGCACCTGGCTTTAAGACTTGTATCATGTGATAGCAGTAGTATTATTTTTATGTCAGGTGGTTAGAACAAGACTTGCTGCTGTGGTTGTTTTTCCATCAAACAGTCACGTTTTTACAAAGTAAAGAAAGGTGTGGTGAGATGACATGGTGACATCTGTCAGCTGTATCACTATGTCACTGCATGTTCCGACCTCTGATTGTACTTCCTCTACGTCTGCTCTGAACAGTTGGGGTTCTACAGTGGCACTTTGTTTGTGACGCTGATGAGTGTTGACCGCTACCTGGCCATCGTTCACGCTGTGGCTGCCATGCGAGCCAGGACGCTTTGCTACGGCATCATAGCCACTGTTGCCATCTGGGTCGCCAGCAGCGCCATGGCTGCCCCTCAGGTCGTATTCGCCTCGGTGGTGATGGATGAGGAGGACGGGGAGACATTTCAGTGCCAACCCTGGTATCCAGATGAAAATGTGGACTTTTGGAAAAAGCTGCGAAACTTCAGTGAGAACACAGTCGGGCTTTTCGTATGTCTCCCAATTATGGTATTCTGCTATGTTAAAATCCTCTTAGTGCTCTCCAAGTCCAGAAATTCCAAAAAGAGCAAGGCTGTGAAGTTGATCTTTACCATTGTGTGCGTGTTTGTGGTTTGCTGGGTCCCCTACAATGTGGTAGTCTTCCTCCAAACACTGCAGATGTATGAGTTGCTTAACGATTGCAAGGCCTTGAAGGCCATAACCTCTGCCATCGGCTTCACTGAGATCATCGCACTCTCTCACTGCTGCCTAAACCCTATCATATACGCATTTGTAGGAGAGAAGTTTAGGAAGTCGATGGATAAGGCACTGAGTACATACCTCGGCCGCAGATATTGGGGTATACGCCACAGAGACAGAGACACCACGGAAGGAGAGACATCCAACACTCCTGTCAAATCAGAATATTGAAACGTTTTAGACACACACACAACACAAATGCGGTCTTGTTACAGTAGGTGAATGTGAGACTACAACGACAGACTGTGGTCTGTAACTATAAGATCTTTCTAATTCGTCTTGTTCCAGTGGAAGGAAGGCCTCTCCTGATTAATGCAGCAGTTAATCTCTTGGCCAATCAGCAGCCACTTATCAGCCAGACCAAGTCAGGTAATGCATTTAAATGTGTGGCATTTAAACTGAGGGTTAATTCACTAAGGAAACTTGTTTTACCAACAGTTCCTAAATGTGTCTTCTACTGAGATGTACAGAGTGGTTTAGACTGTAGCTCTCTGTCAAGACTGCGTTCACACAGTCAAGATTTAAAGAAGTGAAACAGATAGACGTCAGTTATTCCTGACAGACCCCAGACTGCAGACCACAATCATACAACAACTGTATTTATACATGGTGTAATACAGTATCACAAATGCATATCAAATGCATAATGCATATGTCTCCAGGTTTTGTTAGGCTAAACAACACAAGGACACTGTTACAATCTTGGAAATATCCAGATAGCAGGCTGTACGTTACCAATTTATCCTTAAAACAATGTTGTAGTTGTAAAAAAATTACTATAATGTAAAGCTGTTAGATCACTGTGAGACTTTGTAAATATATGAACATATATCAGGTAGTCAACAAATAAATAGAAAGGCAAAAAAGCGTATGATTCTTAGAATAAAGTAATAAGTTGTATTTTTTAAGTAAAACATTTACAAATTACATAAATCATATCTAAAATGTTTAAGTAGTGAATTGTTTAGTGTCTGATATGAATACAGCCTTTTATGTTGTCTTTATTTGTTTGACACTGACTTGGATTATTCTGCACTTTTTAAAAAAAAATGGATAAAGTTAGTGGAAGTTTTATTTTTTTATTTGAGAGTTCAAAGAATTTTAATTATTAAACAATATTCTTCATCCTTGATGTATATTCCCATTAAAATTATCTCTGATGATAAAAGCATTGATTTTGTGTGTGGCTCTAAGAAGATGTAAAAACTGTGAAAATGCTGTGAATGATTCATGAGGAAACTGTATAGAATTGTATTCTGCTACTGCAGATACACAGACTTTTCTTTTTTAACTTCCTCATCAGTGTGTTATGATATGATTTCTACAAACCTTACCGGGCTTTGGGGGTTAATTAATTAGATGTCTAGACGGGCCATAAATAACTACTTAGTCTATTAAGTCCAAGAGTGCCTAAGATTACTGGAAATATTCAAACAGTCATTTTCACAGATTATAATGATTAGACGGGGAGCGTTAGAGCAGAAACATTGTGTCGAAGAACAATAACGAGAGATGAGCAACTGTTTGTTTTTTAGATGTTACTTCACAGTTCCTCCTCTCTAGTTCAAAGTAAGGCATTCATTTCTGTAAAATGCAACAGTCACATCTTAATATGACCTTCAGGTCTTAGTCAGACCTCTCCCCTGGAGCCTGAAATTTTTTTCAGATTGAACAATTGTAAATGTCTTACTTCGTGCCACATTACAGGAACTATTCTTGTTGCAGCCTTAGCATTTTTGGCCTTCAGCTGCAGCAGGTGTGTGGCCCTAACTCTTACACTACAGATATGAAAACCTGTGGCTCAGTTAACCCACAGACTCTTGGTCTTTCAGCAGAGCACCGTGCAAAAGTCTGCATAAGTCGGAAACCAAAATATATAGATGTTAACCACGAGCCCACCCAGATGTCAAGGCAAGGCAGGGCAAGCAAAAGCATTTTGTTATTAAACGCTTGGCAGCTTTAATGCACTTCATTGTGTAAACCAGTTCTCTTCAGAGTGCATTACTGTTTGGATCTCCAAAACCAGAGGAACCGAACTGTGGAACGGTTTGTAAAGGTAATGTTTGGTTTTACTGCTTTTACAGACATGACGGTCACTGTCATCACCAACTAACCTCAAGCTCTGGCGAGATGCCTAAGTTGTATTTATAACAACATTATTGTGCGTGAAGTCTTTATTTGTGACCCATCGACTTCCCCTTTGTGGTTTTTTTTTGGGGGGAGAGGGGGGTTTGCATTTACCTCAGTCCAAGAGTTGACATTGCGTGTTTTGTGAGTCCAATTAAATAGTTGTTAAAAACTTATTTGTAAAAGTTTTCTTTCAAGTTACAGCTATTCTATGTTTCCAGCGACATTTTAGATATTTTGGAGAAATTATAAAAGAGCATTTGGAAATAAAATTGTATATAGGGTTAGGGAATTATATAAGGTATGCGTATGAAAAGAGAATAAACAGGAACAAATCTATTAAACTGTTCGATTAGAAGGTAGTAACCAGATTACTTAAGTATATATTTGAATAGACAATGGCTTCTAAGCAAAGGGAATGTGAGTGAAAATCTACTTTGAAAGCATTATACGACAACTTTAGTGATGACGGGAAAAGTCTAAAGACATGTGTAGTGTGTAAATAATATTTTGTTAAATGTCCAGGGTGACTGTGCTCCACTGGACACAGTCTCCGCTCAAAACATAAGGAGACTGTGCTGTGTTAAGATTCCCGGAAAGTTGGACAGATGTTTCTTTTCTTCTTTTTATCATCTTGAGAGGAATTACATCATGTTCTTTTTGTTGTTTTGTAGAAAAGAAACCATGACTGGGACTCTCGCTGTCACTGCTTTCAGCACAACTGAGAATTCATCAACACAGGACGCACAAGGGTGAGATTAAACCTACAGCTGGCACGCAGTAACAACTTCAATCCTGTTTTTTTAATCTCTGTTTACCTTTACTGCAGCTACTGCTTTGCTTTACTCACAGCTTTGGCAGAATTTACTGTAGTGCAACAGTAGAGTAGTATTTCTTCTGTATTCCTGGCGAAAATAATCACCAGGAGTACAGTTTATTGCATATGTGCGTATTCTGTGTTCAATGTTTCTTCTGTCTGCCTGTCGAAAGAGCATTTCGCAAAAACATGGAATCAAATTTCATGGAGTCCTGGGGTGGATCATAGAGCCGTCTTTTTCCACATCTTTTAAATTGTAAGAAAATAAAGCCAAACTAAGTAGATTATATACATATATCAAATATTTACCGGGGAAGATATACAAGTATGTAAAGTAAGTGAAAGGTTAAGAAGTTAAAGGATATTAGAGATAGAAGAGAAAGAGTTAAAGAAAATGACCTAAGAAATAAGGGGCGAGGAGAGACCATGCGTTACTGCAGCCAGATAAAAAAAAAAAAAAAAAATCAGTTCATGTGTTTCCAGCAAATACTTTGGGTTATCCATCTAAAGCAGGGGTTTTCAGAGTGGGTGAATGTGAGCCTCCCCTATACAGTAGGTCAGGACAGCCGAGCCTTAACCCACACACACCTCTGCAGTAAATGCATCTTCTGTGTGCTCCTGGCAGTGAGTTTCAATAACAACTGATAGAATGCATTTGAAACCATTTAATTTTCACAACTTTTTAAAAAAAAAAAAGACATTCATAAGCTATTATTTGCAACAGCAAATCATTTTGGTTCATGCATGCCTCCCCTGTTTCTCTTTGGCGTTCCCTAGGGGAGGCATTAGACAGTGCACAAAGCAGTTGGATGTGTTGCAGAGTGGGTGTTCTCATTGTAAACCTTGACTGAAGGTCTTTAAAAAGATCTGTTCTTCCAACCAACCTCTGGTCTATTCTTTCCCAACAGCTCTACTCCAGCTTCATCCACTGAAAACTACTACTACTACTACTACAACCTACCCGATGGGGACATTGGATTATGTGTGTATGAACGTCACGGAGCCATTTTCCTTCCAGTTCTTTACAGCATTTTCTTTCTTCTTGGCCTTTTTGGTAATTCTCTGGTCATCTGGGTCATTTCCTGTGGAGTACGACTTCGCAGCATGACTGATGTCTGCCTCCTGAACCTGGCTGTCGCTGACCTTCTGTTGATGTGCTCCCTCCCCTTCCTTGCCTACCAAGCCCATAACCAGTGGCTGTTTGGAGATGGTATGTGCAAAGTGGTCCTGGGCATTTATAACATTGTTTTTTACAGCGGGATCTTTTTTGTTACTCTAATGAGTATTGACCGATACTTGGCTATAGTTCATGCCGTCTACGCTCTGAAGGTACGGACCAGGTCATTTGGCATGGTTGCAGCTGCTGTGGTTTGGGTGGCAGGTTTCACAGCTTCATTTCCAGAGTTGACCTTTCTCAAACAACAAACCTCTGGCAACATAACTAAGTGCTTTCCTGAATATTATGCAGGCACTGGGGAATATTGGGACACCAACGCCTCCCATTTTTGGCAAGTCTTCAGTCTTTTTAAAATGAACATCATAGGTCTTATCATTCCTGCCATTGTCATTTGTTTCTGCTACTCAAGGATCATCTGGAGACTGATGTTGAGTCAGAGGTCAAAGAAACAGGCCATCCGTTTAGTGGTCATAGTTGTAACTGCCTTCTTCAGCTGCTGGATTCCTTACAATGTCACATCGTTCTTCAAGGCACTGGAGCTGCTGCACATTTACACAGAGTGTGAAAGCAGCAAAGCCATCAGATTGGCCTTAGAAGTGACCGAGGCCATTGCCTACTCCCACAGCTGCCTCAACCCGTTCCTGTACGTATTTGTTGGAGAGAAATTCAGACGACACCTGATCAAGTTGGTAAACAAGACTCCCTGTAAGCTGTGCCAGATGATCAAGACCTGCATACCACAGGACAGCAGAGTTGGCTCCACCTATTCACAAACCACCAGCCTGGATGAGAGGAGCACTGGTGTGTGAAGAGACAGCTATCAGATTGGCCATGTTCCTGTTGTTTTCCAAAAGGAACAGTTTTCCACTTGTCCATGAACACATCTTCTGGAATTAATTAACGTGACACAATAATTAACGTCCATCGATAATAATCCACCTAGAGGACATTCCTGAAAATATTGTTTTTCTTCAACACTGCAGAAGCATATCTCCAGCAGGTGGCGTTGCAGATGTTGTTTAAAAGCCCTAGTCCATAAGTTGAGTGGGCTGCTAAAGTTAATTTGACCTTTTTGGTTAAAACCAGCATTACTTTAAGTTAAATGTCCGTTAGGTAATGCCCTAATCATTAACAATAAAACATAAGCAGAGGGCAGCATCCCTGGGAGTTAGAACGCAATTTTCCAATAAAGGAAACCAGAACTTCCTGCATACTCTTCTATTGAGTGTTTGTGTGTGTATATATATATATATACACACACACAGTATATATGCCTAGTGGTCTACTACACTGTAGACATTAGTACAGATAGCATAAGGTAATTACATGCAATTGGGTGCTCTGTAACAGAAATGATAAATATACTGAACAATTCCCCCTGTGTTTCCAAGTGCACATCATCATCTTCAAAGACCTATACATTTAAATGTACTGTATATACATTCAAACTGCAACAGCCTTGAATACAGCATCCATATTGCATTAATCATGTATTTCAACAAATAAAAACGCGGACAGAATAGAGAGCGTGGTGAATTCACTGACTCTCAAGAGCAAAACATTTTTTGTTGCATCAACATTGGTGCTGCAGACTTCAAAAGCATCTGCAGTAAAATGTTTGCAGTAAAAAAAAAAACAGTCTGAAAGAGGAAGTGTGAAAGTCAACTTAACACACACACTGTGAGATAGCAAAATATATGTGTATTTATTTTAAAATAATGAATTCTGACCCTTAATGCAATGCAAAGGAATGTGTTAGACTATGTACCTGAAGTTTGTTTCTATTTCATGTTTTATTTCATATTCATATACACAATTGTAAATAATTGTAATTCAATATGGCGGCAACTGGAGTGGTGACTATTTTACAGAAAATAAACAGCTGTAATTTTTAATGTGTGTGTTTATCCTATTTTTTTCTAATAAACCAACACCTGTGACCTGATCTAGTAAAGTAACTGATGTGTTATTTTGCCCCGTGGCGTTCAGAGAATTGAATCTGTACAAAATGAAGTTAGGTACATTAGAAAAGTCTTGAGTCCACATCCTGTTTGAGGCAGAGGGTGGAGGATGAGTCATGCAGGGTTTTGCTGTGAATGAAGTGTTTAAATGTCATGTTTGTTGCAGTGGATCCTGAACTTTACAACATTTCACTATTGTCAGGACCCCCCAGCTCCCACATTTATTTTCATTCACAATAATATAACAAAGGTTATAAAACTAGTGTCTGTTAACAACATTTCCTCCATCTTCACCAGGTGCATTCCAGGGTAAACATCTTTTTCACCCATTTACTCCATGCAAAATATTTTTTCCTCCTGCCACTGTAATGTTTACTACTGTATAAATATTGTACAATATATATTTTTTATAAGTGCTCTCCAGTAAAGAGTTTATTTTATTTCCTATTTTCTTTTTTTATTCTACTTCATGTCTTTTAGTTATTCTATTTCAATTTAATCGTTGGCTCCTACATTATCTCAATCTCATCACAGTCCTATCTCATCTAAATCATATTTATGTCAATTAAATTTCAATTTCCCCCACAACCGTAGCGGTAGATAATGGAGGAATGGATAGATAGATAGATAAACTCAACCACGATCTCAGTCTCATCTCAATCTTGTTTCTCTTAAATCTCTTTTTTAAATCTCTCAATTTAAATCTTTCGTCAATCCCGCCTCACTTGTTATCTCTAGCTATGGTTTGAAAACAACTGTTAACTTAGTTGGTAGCCCAGTTGGTATAACAAAGTACATCAGCTCATTGGTGTCATCTAGTGGTTGAGCAAATTGCTGCACACGTTATTCATCTTTTAACGACCAGTACAGTGCATCATTTATTGACCATTAGGGTTACACACACAGAGACATTGAATTATTATTATTTTTAAATACATTTTGATAATAATTCGTGTTCATCATATTTTTTTTTATCTGTGTGGTGGAAACCTTTGTCTTCATTTCAAAATCAGTCAGTATACATTTTCTTTAAATTCTAACTGGCCAAATGATAAAGACTGCTAACTTTGCTCTCAACTTTCCACCATCTTTGACTGTACAGTGAAGCACACATTCGTTTTGTGCACAGGTTTTTTGTTTTTGTTTTACAGTAAAAAAAAAACTAATTAAAAAATTAAATCAATACAAACTAAAATCAGATCAGAGCTAAAAATGCGACAGATAGGTGAAACGCTCACCCAGCATGCATCACCTCACACTTCCTGACCTTGCATGGAAATTGAATACACAAGTGTATACACACTTGTTCTGTGGTTTTGTGCAGAAGAGACAGTACTGATCTGACACCTGTTAAGAACAGTTGTGTTTATGCTTATGCAAAAACACTGTGTTCTGCATCACGTGACAAATATCGCACTGCAGATACAGTTTATACAGTAAACACTGCTGGTCAAGTGTGTTAATTTGCAAGACCGAATTTTTTTTACACTTTTACAAAATATGTAAGTACAGTACTTTAAAAAAAAAACTTAAAAAAAAAAAAAAATTGTCATGAATGCCAGAGAAAGGCAGTAGAGGGAACGAAACAGAAGAGAAGCATCTGTGGAACGGAGATAAGATCTTGACTCAAGTTCTTCTTTACTGTGTTAACACACACGTTCACACGCGCACACACACAGAGAAAGAGATGGTGAGAGAGAGGTTTTTTCCATTTTGTGGTTAATGCCTTCACTAGGTTCT